GAATATACAGGTCCATAGAGCAAATACTGTAGAAACAGCTGCACTTAAGTCTTACTGTCACTCCAATATGCTTTCTGTTCTCAACGGACAAAAAAAAAAAAGTATAGTCTGACAGTTTCACTGCTTAGCTACGGGAAGGAGTACACTGCATTATTTTACATGGAGAATTAAGATATTGAATTAGAGCTATCAAAAGCACTGTATCTCTCTATCTCAGGGCAAATGCCTCAATTTGACCAATACAGACCAAGGTGATTCAGACAGAATGCTTACTGTGGAAAGTGGTAAAGAGAAAAATAAGAACTGTACAGGGCGCTGTGCAGCCTTTGCCAATCAGCTGCAGTAGCCAGCTCCATCCACAAGAGGACAGAGCACAAACACCTGCACACACTTTGTAGGAAATACCAACACAACAGAGTCTTACTTCCATTGAGCACACAAGGTCAGGAATACGGAAAAGAAATCCTTTGAGTTACTAAACATACAGGAATGACATCTGGCTTAGGAAGGCCCCAAGCCACAGATGACTGGATGGTGGGAGACTGCATCCCTATTCCATGCCTGCCCCCTTCTTATGCTCTTACGTGTTTTTGGCTGCTATCAGATACTGTACAGAGAAATAAGACTCTGATTTAACACTGTAGAGACTCACTTCCTAACACATAATGGGTATCTGAAGTACTAGTCCAAGACTGCATGTGTATTAACACAACACAAACTAAGCAAAAACAGTCACCTGGATAAATTAAAATATATTGCTTTATTCTAAAAAAAAATCTTACAAATAATTCTTACCACTTAGAAGCCATTGCTAACCACTGTGAGCTGTTAGCATACTGCACTTAGGATGGGTCCATCAAGACATTTTCCACGCTGAGTCCAACGTATGCTTTGAGATGCGAGAGTAGAAAATGATGTAAACAGCTATGATTCAGCTGGTATGTAGCCAAATACTGCAAAGAGCTCCAAACACAGGACTGACAACTGAAGTATGAAAAGCTGAAAGGAAAAGGAGGAAAAAAGTCAAACATTAGACATTAACTCTTTTTAGCTCTCAACTTTCCCATTGAGAAGACATTAAAAAAATAACTATTTAAGCCTTCAAAAATGTTACTTGCTCAGAGGCTAATAATTCAAATGTTCTGAAAGAAAAGGAGATTAAAATTAAAAATGAAGTAGAAACTAGCTTCTCATACATTAAGTACACAAAATACGACCATCCTTTACGTACAGAGTTTTAGCTATATTTAGGTTCGAGACATACTTTGTTAATCAGAAACACCACCTCTCCCAAACACCAGGCTGACTCATTCTTCACATTAGCCCTTTTGCTTCTGATTTTTGTTAGACGCACCATATAATTACTTGGTTGGCACTAGGATGTGGTCAGAAAAAGAAACAGTACTTCAACTGTGCCTCCTTAACAAAGCCTCCAACTTCAGCTTCAGAGCTTCTGGAGATTCCTTTACAACAACACAAGTTTGTATGCAGCCCGCATACTTGTCGCAGCTTGCCTAAGCTGGGAAGTTTCTTTTTGTTCTTGTGTACTAAACTGCCTTCGCTGTACCTTGGTATTTTTTT